TACTTCTATTAAGTATAAAATAAGTTTTTGTGGTATCCACTAGTGTAAATACTTTAAATTAAAGATCAAATTTATTCATTACATTCATATAGGGTTGAGGAGTGTATCTGTAAAAAATCATCAAAATCGGAGCTAAAATAACCGTTAAATTGTGATTTTTTTGTTTATAACCGTTGATAACTTTTGTTCCGTTACGTAATCTCTGAATGTTTGTTTTTTACGATTTTTTATGTATGAAATCTTGGAATGTGTACAAATAAGTTTGACGGTTAGATCGTTAAAAAAAGTTTCGTAGAATGCATATTGCGTCAAAATAGTAGATTAAACAAACACTTAAAGTTAATATTATACTTCTATTAAGTATAAAAAAAGATTTTGTGGTATCCATTAGTGTAAATACTTTAAATTAAAGATCAGATTTATTCATTACATTCTTATAGGGTCGAGGAGTGTATTTGTAAAAAATCATCAAAATCGGAGCTAAAATAACCGTTAAATTATGATTTTTCGTTTATAACCGTCGAAAACTTTTGTTCCGTTACGTAATCTCTGAATGTTTGTTTTTTACGATTTTTTATGTATGCGATCTCAGAATGTGTACAAATAAGTTTGACGGTTGGATCGTTGAAAAAAGTTTCATAGAATGCATATTGCGTCAAAACAGTAGATTAAACAAACACTTAGAGTTAATATTATACTTCTATTAAGTATAAAATAAGTTTTTGTGGTATCTACTAGTGCAAATACTTTAAATTAAAGATCAAATTTATTCATTACATTCTTATAGGGTCGAGGAGTGTATCTGTAAAAAATCATCAAAATCGGAGCTTAAATAACCGTTAAATTGTGATTTTTCGTTTATAACCGTCGAAAACTTTTGTTCCGTTACGTAATCTCTGAATGTTTGTTTTTTACGATTTTTTATGTATGCGATCTCGGAATGTGTACAAATAAGTTTGACGGTTGGATCGTTGAAAAAAGTTTCGTAGAATGCATATTGCGTCAAAACAGTAGATTAAACAAACACTTAGAGTTAATATTATACTTCTATTAAGTATAAAATAAGTTTTTGTGGTATCTACTAGTGTAAATACTTTAAATTAAAGATCAAATTTATTCATTACATTCTTATAGGGTCAAGGAGTGTATCGGTAAAAAATCATCAAAATCGGAGCTAAAATAACTGTTAAATTGTGATTTTTCGTTTATAACCGTCGAAAACTTTTGGTCCGTTACGTAATTTCTGAATGTTTGTTTTTTACGATTTTTTATGTATGCGATCTCGGAATGTGTACAAATAAGTTTGATGGTTGGATCGTTGAAAAAAGTTTCGTAGAATGCTTGCGTCAAAACAATAGATTAAACAAACACTTAAAGTTAATATTATACTTCTATTAAGTATAAAATAAGTTTTTGTGGTATCTACTAGTGTAAATACTTTAAATTAAAGATCAAATTTATTCATTACATTCTTATAGGGTCGAGGAGTGTATCTGTAAAAAAATCATTAAAATCGGAGCTAAAATAACCGTTAAATTGTGATTTTTCGTTTATAACCGTCGATAACTTTTGTTCCGTTACGTAATATTTGAATGTTTGTTTTTTTACAATTTTTTACGTATGCAATCTTGGAATGTGTACAAATAAGTTTGACGGTTGGATCGTTGAAAAAAGCTTGTCATTACGAGTGTTTATATATTTTTTCTATATTTTTTTACACTTCTACATTAATTAAAAAACTATTAAAGACTTTAGGTAAGCGAAAATATACTTAAAACAAAATTGCGTTTTTATGTTTTGGATGTGATAATATGGAATGTATATACTTATTTAGTATTATGTTTTTCATTTGATTATTTATTGGTTTAAAATATATTTTCCTTAACGGGTAACGGATCGGGTCATATTACCTGTTAATATTACCAGGTCGATTTCGGGTCGTGTCATTTTACCCGTTTATTTTAACGGGTGTTACACGACACGACCCGTTAAGATATCAGGTATGACACGAAAACGACACGAACACGGAAAACACGACACGAATGCCAGGTCTACACATGACCTCACATTAAATGATAGTGGAGTTTACATGACAACCAATAACTGGGAAAGAGGAAAAGGCAAGAGAGATAGGTAGCTAGCATTCCTCTTACAAGAAGATTGGGAACTAGTCCCCACCTCTTCCCACCTCTTGTTCCCACCCCTTCTCCCCCAACCCCAATGGGGGTTTTAGCCTCCATGAGACTACTATATTTGAAGTTCTAATTAGAAATTTCATCCATAATGAGTCGGATAATGGGACTAGATCTACAATTTGGGTTAGCAACTTCCTTTTTTGGGTAGCAAAAAATTAGGCTACAACTAGCCCCAAAAAACAGTGGGTCCCACGAAAAAAGTAGCAACCTATGTGAGTCAAATTTTACCACTCCCTTCACTTGCGAATACACTTACACTATCCTTTTATTTATTTATTTTTTATTCTTCTTTTTTACATATTTTTGTTCGAAAGGTCCTCCTCCATTTTGTTTGTAAGTTTAATGCTTAAGACATAAAATGATATAAGATATTATACTAAAAGGGCTTACTTTTATTAATTTCAAACATTATTCTAAAAATCTCCATCTAGCATTGTCTAGGCCCCACCTTGGAGCTAGGCGGCTAGTTACCGCCCCGATTCATGCCTGGGCGTTTGAAAATTAAGAAATGGTGCCTAGACCGCCTAGGCACCCGTCTAACCCGTCTATACCCGCCTAGGTTGCGACTCACTTAGACAGAAAATAGATAACTTTCATTTGCATTTTATTTTTTTCAATAAATTGTAATAAACTTGTTGAATACTTAAATGAACACAGATTATAAGTTTGTTCTCCATATTTTCATTATGTTCCAATACTTCATAATATATATGTCATTCTATTTTGTAGTTTATGATGAAATTATATATATATATATATATATATATAAAGTATAAACAAGCATTTATTTACACGAAATATAATAGATTTACTTAAATCCGCCTAGTCCGTCTAGGTGCCCACCTAGGCCCCGCCTAGCAGCTTAGGCGCTAGGTCCCAGCCCACCGCCTGATTAGCGCCTAGCGTCTTTTAGAATCTTTCAAAATAAAAACACAATACATATTAAAATGACATTGACAGTTTAGAGACTTAAACACAAAACATAAACAAACAACATACCTAAATTGTAAAGGTATTACAATTTAATTATTTGAAATAATACACAAGGAAACACACTTATACTGTAAAGCCATTACAATTTAGTTATTTAAATGCTACAAGCACAAGACTTAGTCTCTATGTGCATGTCCATTCTACATGTGTGCAATGAAATTATTTTGGAAAACGAAGTGGGCATTTGGATCTTCCAACAGATGAGATTGAGATAAGAGAATCTAATCTAGCGAACGGTTCATAAGTGATGAAATCTAATTTTGACAAAATTTTTTTTTTTTTTAGATTGAAAAGTTCATAAAAAAAAAATTAAGATAACACACATTGAAACACCCAACTATATAGGTAGTACACCCAATTAAATAATCAATGCTATCAAATGAACAAATTAGTCTATCCGATTGAAACAATCAGTATAATCTGACGTACCAAATGAGATGTAAAAATAGAATATATCAATTATTTCATTCACTCAACACATAATGTTATACATTACATTTTAAGTAGTTCCCTCCCTAGTCAATGAGAATTTTTATAGCAAAGCCCGCATGGACACCGTACAAAAACTCTGCAGATGAAAGTGTGCGTTGAGAAATTTTATGGGTACAAATAGATTGAAATTAAAATTGTAATGTACCGTATATCATATGATTCAATTACCATTAACCTTATAAGATAGGACATTGCTTGGTTCCTGACCAGTAAAAATTTAATTTTCTCACCCAATGACAAGGACCAATTAATTGTCTTTCCACACTTGCACAATAGGTGGAAACTCAAAATCTTTGGGTAAGAGGTGGCGCTATGAGTTGTGTTTGAGTTTGGGTAGTACTATCCACACACTCATTTTTATCTTGGACACATCACTCTCAATTTTTTGCATTATGATCAAATAAATTGAAGAAGAACAACAGACAAAAATTAGCAAAAGTATGCGAAAAGTAAAAAACATGTGTGAACAGCAACCCCATTGAGTTTATCCACTTACTTCTGTGTCATGACACACGATAATAATATTTTAAAAATAATAATGTAATAGTAATTAGTCATACTAAACCAATACATACTTGTATCATTTCATAACAAAAAGTCACACTTGGATAATCTTACCACTATATAAGCAGTGGCAAATTCAAAAAAAATATTCTTGGGGGGTTAATGAGGAAATAGAATGCGCAGAGTGCAAAATTTTTGTACGAAAGCCTATGGCATTTAGTCAAACAGTTAGTGGGCTACAGTCATCGGTTGAGCCATATTGCGTGCCTATCGACAACTTCCAAGCGGGTCTTTCAACACATGTCAATATACGCAAGAATGTTTGTCGATAGATGACAACAACACATACACAAAAGGCAATAGGCAATGTTGAGTGATGCAGAGTATCACTCAAGCATTTGTCCCACACCTTATTTGCACAAAGCAAGGGGTCATCGAAGGCACTCCTCATCAATTTTTTCGGTCGCTACTAATAATAAGCTCACTATTATGTTATGAGTGGAAAAAAAAACCTCCTAGAAAGGGTGGAAAAAACTCCTCTCGTTATCTTTTTATTTTAGTAAGAAATCACATATTGATTTTATGTCATATACTAAGAAAAAAAATTGAAAAGAATGATTTTCATTACTCTAAAAATCTCATTTTATTTGTCATATACTATGCTCGAAAAGCCGTCACAATTCAAATGATGAAACCTTAACGGCTAGTTTAGCCAACGTGTCAAATTCGACGAACTGCACGCGCCAACGGTCACATTCCCGTTTCGTTTAAGAAACCCCGTTCACCAAACCACCTCTTTATAATCCTTCCAAACTTTATCCCAAAGCCATCGACTTTTCTCGTCTCTTTCAAGAATTTGAATTTCAGCGCCCACTGCTTTCTTTCTCCGATCTCCAACTTCCGATCCGTCGATCTTTTTCCGGCGACCCTTTCCGTTTCTCAGCGACTTTTCAATTCGGATTCAATGGAGACTCCATCGTCAATCAGGAGAGTCACGAGGTCTCAGACTTCGGTCGCTCAGAACAGCAGCAACCCCCTTTCAAGTGAGTTCTCTCACTTTCTTTTGTTTCCTTCCAAACAATCGAATGATCGTGGAAAATAAAATATGGGTACTTAGGGTTCATGATGCATGGGTTTTAATGGGTTTATCTTATCAAAAATCTGATTTTCTTTTCTTGAATATGTAATTTTCAATCAGAATCGGGACTTTTAATACTTGGGCTTTGATGGGTTTATCATAAATTTGATTTTCGTATCTTGAATCATTAAATTTTCAATCAGAAATCCGGATTTTAATACATGGTTTTCAATGGATTTTGCTTTTCTTTTCTTGTTTTGTTAATCTTTCTTCAGGAAAGACTGAAGATTCTGAGAAGGCTCTCTCGAAATCGAGACCAAGAAATGGGAAGCAACAACAAGATCGGTCTGCACTGATTGACATCACCAACGATTCTCCGATAGTTGGACTTGCAATGGGAAGCTTGGAGACTCCATCGTCGGCCATACTCAAACAGAGAAGCTGCAGAGCCAAGAACACACCTGAGTCCGGAGAGGCCTTGCTGAGAGGTCAAGTCAAGACCCTTTTGCAGCAAGTTGAAGAGGAGGCTGAGCTCTCAAAGATATCGCTCGAAAGCCGCCCTATTTGCCTTATTCAAGGCCTTATCGCCAACTCTCCGATGGGACTCCTCGCGCCAACGCCAGCGAACACGCCACAGGTCTCTGATCTCTCTGTTGGTGCAAGCGGAAGGAACAAAGTTGGTCCGAGTTGTGAGCAACCTTCAGTTGTTCAAGAACAATTAATTTCGCAGGTTGGTTTCTTCACCTATTTTTCATCTGGTGCAATAATCTGATTGTATTTACTTGTTTTAACTTTTAGGTTTGCCTCAAAAAATTGTAAATTACTGATTATTTTTTTTTCATCCATGCAAATGTGGTAGGTGGTATGTGACATCTTTGAAGGAAAAAATCAGGGGAGCCTCGAATCTCAGAAGAGTATCCTGAGCCGCTCTCTGCTGCTGGATTTCTCCGAGAAGTCTGAAATCTCCTCACTTTCATCAGAGTGCTCCTCTGTGATTACTGACAGCAAGGAGAAGTCATCATCCCCAGATGATGACAATGCATCCATCTGGTCGATGCAGGTCAATGCCAGCACCCATGATGAAGATGAGGAAGAAGCAGCCGATGACGAAGAAGACTATTATCTGAAGCTGAATGAATGTTATGGAATGGAAGAAGAAAAGGAGAAAGATGGAGGATACAATGTGGAGGAGCTTTGTGATGGCATTAGCAATATTTGCGTCAATGAGACGAGAAGGATTCCCAAGTTTGAAGGAAAGCATACCAGATTTGTGTATGACAGTGAAGATGAAATCGTTGAAGAAGAAGAAGGATCTGCAAAGACTCCGGAATCAGCTTCGCCGGGTGCCCTGCGGCTGAAGGGATTGCCAACACCAAAGGGGAAGCACCTACGGTTTCTTGAGGAGGAAGACTGATAGATTCTGGTTTCGAAGTGCTGAAGTTGTTTGGTTTTCTTTCTTGATAACCATGTTAGCGAAATGCTTTGTTTTTTGTTTTGGATTTCATGACACCAAAAAAATGACATGATTGTCATTCATCACTTTGATTTTTAATGAATGAAATATTCTTTGCTAGTTTTAACCAGTTGGTGCCTCTGTTTATTTGGATGCAAGTTTAATTGAATTTATAGCGATCAACCACCCCTACTCCTCCCGGCGAGAAGGCGAGGCACAATTTGTCAGCAGCAGGCTCGTTTCCTGCGGGAGCTGCCCACTGTTAGGTACTCAAACCCAAGGGAAGAGCCCAACCCAAAAGACTAATCCAATAGGTGGGAGGACCCCAAGGACTTAGGTACCACTATGCCATTTCTGGTGTAGCCGATGCATTCCTTTCTATCTGCGGTAGTTCATAGAAACTGAAGTCTCCGCAGCAGTGTCGGGTCTGAATCTTGCATCCCCTCTCAGATACCAAAATGTTATCCTGGAAAGTGAGAAGATTTGTTTCCTCATCGGATACATCGAAAGGTAACAGTACAAATATGTCACACTAGAGGTAAATTTTGTTTAGGGTTGTTCTCCACGCCTCTATTTCTCGCATCGTGTTCATTTACCCAGAAGTACTCGGCAACACTGGCGTAAAAATCCATGGAATTCAAGGAACAAGTAGTACATTTGACAAATTTCAAAACCTTGCCCCCGGATCTTGCTCATTTCTTTCTATAAATAAAATTTACGTAAGACATGTAATTTACATTGAAAAGGCTACTCATGTCTTTCCACATCGGGTCACTAAAAAGCACCAATATGTACATAAATAGCACACCGTCCGTTTGAATAGATTTATAATCCCTTCTCGACTCTACAAATATCTGTGCTACGACACTTTAAAACCAGGGGTGCCACGTTGGATCCATCATGCACAAGTTCCTCGGAGTCAAGGCAGCTTCAACCAACTCAGTCACTCCGCGCTGCACTGACTGCGGTGGTTCCATGCCATTATCCTCCTGAATGCAGCACAACACACATGACAGTGACACACTATTAGGGACCATAAATTAGCAATTGGTTAATCAATTTTTGAAATCGATAAACCCTCAAACTTATAGAGGAGTGTTTAAGGTTTAGGAAATCGATAAAATCAGCACCAACAGCATAAATTATCTTGAATTGAAAAAACAGCATACCACTGTTTAGATGGAAAAGAAAAATGGAAATAAATCACCGAATGCATTGTCGCTCATTTTATGAGACGCGCTCAAACTCAATATCATTGCGAGTGAAGCAAAGCTCTATGTTATTTAGAGATTGGAGGCACTGGTTACCTCTTCGGAAAAGTACTGTGGGGCAATTATATTGATCCGGCCAATAACATGCTCTACATTGGCGATGACCTTCTGCTTGAAGTCAATGGGGTTCATATTACCCCCTCCCGCAAACGGGGCCATAGGCATCCCGAGGGAGGGTCTTCTCCAAGACCAAGACAGCAGCTCATCACGGAAAAACATAGCCAGCTGATGCCACAGATGTTGACTTTGCTGCAATAGAGAAAGATTGAGATTTAGGACACATAATCTCTTTGCTTACGTCATAAAGAAAGCAACTGTCAAGAAAAAACTCACTTTGGGTGAAACAACAGCCTGTGCAGCAGCACACATTGCCGACACAATGAGGCCTTCCACTCCAAAATGGGAGAAGAAAGCTTGCATGTTCCTTGTAAGACGAAAAGGCACTGGCTCATTCAATTCGACCATTCCATTTACATCATATGCAGGATGAAAATCAGTTTGAAATATTTTTCCTGTGTTCTTAGCAAATAAAATTTTATTTGGGGACCTCCCTCCAATTTGTAGCATGAGAGACATAAAACTCGAGAGGGCCAACTGGATGGCGAACTGCTTTTTGAAAGTCCACATATGGTTCCCGTTTAACAGAGTCTTGTACATGTATTGGGAAAAAATGCCGTCAGATACAAGATTTTTTGTTATGTCATTATAAGCTTGGAGGCGAAGGTCTACAACAGCTCCGTTAATGACTTGGCCAGATACAGCCGGGTTCAATTGCTCCTTGAAATAGATTATGGGAAGATCCGCCTCCTTGTCATTCCTTGAGCAGTGATTCTCATACACCTCAAGAAAGGTGCTGTACATCAAATCATCTTCTACCATTCGGACCTGCACATACAGCAATAGTATAAAAATAAAAAAAAACAATTTCCTTCTTCTCGACATGGTTACAATAGCAACCACATTTGATGCAGCGTATTAATGAGAGATGGGTTTATGAGCACTTTGGTGATTAATTGGTCACATTCATGCATCTCACTAATTCATACCTATGTAACTGCTACTGCACTCGTCTCAGGTTCATGCATTACACTATGTAGTCTTTAATTTGCATCTACGCATCACCTAGCTGTACAAGGGTGGCTTGTACCCTTATTTTGATATTAGAATAATCAATCTACAGACTAAGTTGCTCTCATTGAGAGTGCTAATTTCCTATTCAAGGTTTCCTAGTAGAATACAAAGATATTCTTCTAGTTTTCTGCTTTTGTTCTGCATCAACATTCCAAAGAGAAACTAACCACAAAACAACCAGGACCTGGTAAAATAGCCCTATCCCTTATCTAAAAACCAGTAGATGTCTTCAAGGTGGGGAGTTACGTCTAGTAGTTATATATATATATATATATATATATATAGAGAGAGAGAGAGAGAGAGAGAGAGAAATAATCTAATCCCTCAAATGTGAATAAGGACAAACCTGGGACCAAACAGGAATGATGATTGGGGTGTGAATGGATATGTGGCGTCGCCTTGATTCCTTGTGCTTATCAAACATTTGGTTCATCACACGGAAAAGCTGCAATATTCGCTCGTCACTTCTAGCATTAGGGGTTAAAGATGTCTGGACAATAAAATGACGTTGAGAACCATCAGAGCCAATAAGAGTCAAACGCCGGAAACTACTTCCATGTCTTCGCACTATTGGTATATCAGCTCCAACCCTGTCTAACTTTACTGTATGGTCGGGTGCAATTTCCTGCAAACATAACAATCATGTTGTTTCATATAAGAAAATGCACTGAGAGAAGATATAGAATTTTGAATCAACTTGATCTGAAAGCATTTATCCAAAGCTTGATAGTCATTCAACATAATAGAATCAACTTGGGATACAACCACCTCCATTCATCCCATGACACAGGAAGACCAATGAGATGACTCATAAAGAATAAACAACAAAGCCCGGACAATGATAGGAGCAGAAATGTGCAAACACTGATTTAGTTACCTGATCGCTAAAGTACTGTCCTGGAACCTCCACATCAACGACATGGAAGTCGCGCAACACCCTGCTTTCCTCTTCCAGCTTCAAGACAGCTGGAAACCTGTCCTCAACATTGCTCTGGAGGACATTTTTCCAATGCTTTAACCGCTCAGTCAATTCAGAGAGGGTGGCCGGGAAAGTAGTAGTACTCCCAGGATCAAGATCACACTCGAAATCCTGTTTGTACTCTCTCACAAAATCAACATGCTTATTCACAGCATCTTGTGAAAAGCAAGCTCTGCAAACACCGGAGAGTTCCTTCTTAAGCGATTGGGGAACTTCAGCTGTTGTGGCAGTTGGGTACTTGTAACAGCGGTGGAGCAAGGCGTTAACCACAGCTAGAAGTCTCTCCTCTGGCAGAGTGACAAACCTTGAACCAATTTCAGTCAGCAGAGTCTGCACCCAGAAAGTTAACAAAATGAGGATTGACTTTTCTTAATTGTCTGTGTTAATAAAATGAACTTATTAACACGCACGCACATATATATACATGGGACTTCTAAATAACAAAAGTACATCAAATATTTAACTTCTGAGACGGAGATATCACACCTCAAGTTCACTAGCCAAATTAGTATGTTTACTTCTAAGAGCCTCCATTATATCCTTTGCAGCATCAAAAGCGCTGGCAGCAGAGGGTACTGAACCCAAAGCACCATTACGCCTTAATGCACTCTGACCACCATCACTGATTGTTGAAGAACTTTGTTGCTCATTACCCTGATGCATGCCACTCTCGACAACTGTGGACCTTTCAGATTCTTGCCCATGAGAGTTTCCACCATCATGAGAACCAATTCCACCACCAGATTGGGCAGTTTGGTGAACTTGGTTGTCTGAGGATAAACCACTGCCACTATGACCTTGTACTCTAGCATTCCCATCGGCTAACCCAATTGAACCAGCACTGGCACCAGAGGCACTTTGCTGTATCCTTTGAGCCATTGCCATTCGACTACCAAGTTCAGCTTTATTTGCAACATCACGCCGTTCAAGCAAGTATGTGCGCAGCCAGTAATATAGGGCCTGAGATTATAATGCTAGAGATAATCAAGATTTATGTTGGAGTGAAATACTGCATTGAATTTTATTTCCTTTGACAAAGTTAACATAACATTTTACCTGGGGATAGACGGTGGCGATTTTTAGTAGGACGAGTTTGCAATGGGGAGCTTCTGTCCTCTGCAAAGAAAGTAGGAGTTGTGGAATCCAAGAAAGCCAGACCCAGTGGGGAATTTGGTCAATATATTTATCAAAAGACCTCCCAACATGTTCATTGGGAGTATCAAAGCTTAGAAGATATAAAACATGAGCTAGATGATTTCTTGAGTTAGATATCCCAAATTTGATGGCTTGAAGAAAGCAACAGACAGCATACTCCAACCATGTCTCATCATTCCTTTCTCTGTAAGCCTGTGCAAAATAAATAGAAGATAGGTTACGCACCAAAATTAAAAAATTAAAAAAAATTTAAAAAATTTAATATCATCATCATATTTGAAGCACATTACAGGACATACCATGTCACAATAATTTCCCCAGCTTATCCATCCTTTAGGCACATTTCTGAAAAGGCTGACAGCATTGGAGTATGAAAGATTAGCACCTTCATAATCATTTAGCTTTAACAAGAAATCCCCCTTCAGACGAAATATTTCTGCTTTATGTTTCACAGGAAAATACTCTAAGTTTGTGCTGTTGATTAGATTGAGACCACTGGTAAGCTCCCCTTTCATTTCCAGATAAGCTTTTGCCTGTTCTGTAATCTTAACAAAGGCCTCCTGGTAAAATACATGGAAAGAGATTAGAAACCTG